ACCATGCGAATCGATGACTTATCGATGACGTCATCTGTCTTGAGCCTTCCTCAGCTTGTGGCGCCAATATCCGATTTCATGCAGGTCATCATATTTCATATAAGTCCCAACAGGACGGTTCCACCACCACTCGAATCGATGAGTCATCCTCCTCGAACGCTCCGCGACGGTGGCTCCAATATCCGATTTCATGCAGGTCATTATATTTCATACAAGTCCCAACAGGACGGTTCCCCCACCACTCGAATCGATGAGTCATCCTTCTCGAACGTTCCGCCACGGTGGCGCCAATATCCGATTTCATGCAAGTTTCAACAGGTCATCATGCAAGTCCCAACAGGTCTTAGAGGGATTCCCTCACCACGCGAGTCGATGAGTCATCCGTCTAGAAAATTCCGCGACGGTGGCGCCACCATTCCAGAACCTTCCACGCCTTATGGCGCATCTGGTGGCGATTTGGCGAACTACTATCCAGAACCCGCTTAGCCTAATTACTAATCCTATTGATTTTTTTGTATAGAATATGTTCTATTGAACATTTCGATGGAAACGGCTAATAACTAATAAAACGTTCAATAGAAATACAATAGAATTGTCTAGCGAATTCGATAGGAATTTCTATGAAATTTTTCCGTGCGTGTTAACACTTAGCATAATGGAACGATGATGAATCATTAATTGTTAGAAGGAACAATAAAAAAAGACATGATAAAAGAGCATCAATGTCGCGGCCGCGGCGGCGCTAATAGAGAAAAATAATTCAAACGTAGAATGTTTATTAGTAAATTTTATATATCATTAGTTTTTTACGGCCTTTTAAGTCCCCTTTTCGGGTTTCGTTTCAGCACTCTATCCAACACTATGCATGCGGTTTTGGATTCTACACTATACTGCATTCACACTCCTTCAGAACATACACTGAGAAAAAAAATTTCTAAGAAATAGAAATTCTATTATTGATCCAAATCGTTAATCGATTGAATAGTCACAAAAGAAAATGCGATTGTAAGACACAAATATCGATTTGAACTAAACCAAAATTGGATGGTATGGAATCGATTCTGTTATAGTATAGTATATTTTGTTTATTCTATCGAATTTAGAAAATACATGTTTTTGCGACAAAATCGATTTCATACAATTCAATTTTGGTTTAGTTTAAACGCTTCGGATGTGGCGCAAATAATTTTTTTTTCACAATTGCAATGGAAAAATAATTAGTTCAAATGATGAAGAATTGCGTTTGTCGTAAATAAGTAACTGCTCACCGCGAAAGTCTTGCATCAATGAATATGGAATAATATGTTCCTCATAGACCAAATGAGTATTTTATTGCATCTATGAATTCTGCTTTCAATCGAACAGATATTCTTTTGCGGGATAGCGTGCCGCTGATAAATTGGATAATTACATG